CAGTGTTATTCAGTAGTATGATGCTTGGTACTCAGGATTTAGTGCCTGACCACTTGATTAAGGATTGGCGTCATTTTAATGATAGGGGAAGGAAGGCTCATCTTAAGACAGTCACTACTCGTCGTCCTACAGTAAAGAAATCAATGGACTACATCGATATACCACATTTACGTTTAGGATGTGTCAGAAGAGTGGTATTCCAAGAACATAGACGAGGTCCACGATGAGAACTCCAATGGTGATAGTAATGTAGAAGATGGTCATAAGTTGTATTACAAGCCCATTGGGGAGCAGCTTTTTGACTTTCAAGTAAGGCTTCCTCTACCTTTTGGTCCACTATCAGATAGTATCATTAGGTTGAGGGAATCCAATGGCTACTATACAACTGGGCTCAACATCGTGGATCTATACTAGCAGGTAGTCACTGCGAGTTGTTGTTATCGGTGTAAGGCGTTGATCAGATGAGATGGGCCTTGGTAAGACAGTCCAGAGCTCAGTTTTCATATCAGCTATACATGAGCTAACTGGAGGAGTGGGACCATGCCTTGTTGTTGCTCCTCTCTCTACTCTCACTCATTGGAAGAGGGAATTAGCCAAAGTAAGTACATCAATTCTAGTGTATACCTTATGGTGTAGCTTACCACTTTTAGTGGGCTCCTGCATTACGTACTGTAGTATTCCATGGCGCTCAAGAAGAGCGTCCTCTAATTCAAGATTATATGCTAAACTGGGTTAACTTGAATGATGGCCGTAGTATAAAGGAGAAGAATGTGGTTAAAGGAAAGATAGATTACAAGTAGAGCAATTCGTGTGGGCTCTGGGAATTGATCTCGATATCTGGTGCTCGTGAACAAGCCATGATACCGTTACACCACAAACTCATTCGAAACCAGATCAAAGTCATATTCGTTGATCCATCGTCCGCTTCTTCATGTAGGCCAAAATTTGATGTCATGGTTGCTTCCTACGAGACGGTCATCCAAACTCCATCCGCTTTCAATTGTTATCATTGGAGATTAGTCGTGATGGATGAGGGCCACAGGTAAGGCCCCTTCCGTAGGGATTATCATCAACAACATCATTATGGCCAACTTCCTAGGCTTAAGGGAGTCGATAGTTTGGCCAAGCAAGTCCTATGTAATCGTACCAAGATGAATGTGGACCATCATCTGCTC